TGGAGCATATGTCAAAGATTCCTTATGTCAGTGCAGTTGGTAGTATTATGTATGCTATGGTATGCACACGTCCAGATATTGTTCAATCTGTAAGTGTGGTAAGTAGATACATGTCCAACCCAGGAAAGAGGCATTGGGAAGCTGTCAAGTGGATATTGAGATATCTCAAAGGAGCTTCTGGTGTTGGTCTTACCTTTCGAAAAAGTGGTACAGGTATTTCAATTCTCGGTTATGTGGATTCTGACTATGCAGGAGATCTTGACAGAAGAAGGTCCACAACTGGATACATCTTTACCCTCGTTGGCAGTGCCGTCAGTTGGAAGTCGACTTTGCAGTCGATTGTCGCTTTGTCTACGACAGAAGCAGAATACATGGCAGCAGCGGAGGCGGTAAAGGAAGCTATCTGGTTGAAAAGTTTAGTAGCGGAATTGAGTTTGGTTCAGCTGGAATCAACTCTTAGATGTGATAGTCAGAGTGCTATTCATCTAATGAAAAATCAGAGATTTCATGAGCGCACTAAACACATTGATGTCAGATTTCATTTTATTCGAGATGTTATTGATGAGGGAACTATCAAGGTCGTGAAGGTTATCACAGACGATAATGCTGCAGACATGTTGACCAAGATAGTCCCGCTCGCTAAGTTTGCACACTGCAAGGACTTGGCGGGGGTGTGCATCAACTGATGCAACTCCGAAGAGAACAGTTGCTAGGTGGAGGTGGTATGTTCAACAATGGTTTGATTCTTCTTGTTTCTTACAACGGGGTTGCCCAGTAAGCTTAGAAGTTTTGGCCAGAGTTGTTCACACGCTCGAAACGCAAACCAAGGTGGAGATTGAAAATGTTGGTTTATGTTTAGTTAACAATGGCATGCTGAAAATGTTGGTTTATGTTTAGTCAACAATGGCATGCCAATTGAAAGAGTTGGTGGAAAGAGTTGGTGTGGATGCTACGAGGAAGCTTCCTCCTTTGATGTCACCCATGACATCAAGAGGAGGTCTCTACCTCTATAAATAGATACACTCCTTCACTTGTAGAAATCATCCCAAAATAATACAATACATTGTAGTGAGTAGAGAGTTAAGAGAGAAATTCTCTTAAGTGTAATTGGGAAATCTCCTCTTCCTTTGTTAATATTAAAAAGGGCAATTGTTCTCTGGTGGACGTAGGATTATTTTGATCCAAACCACGTTAAATCTTGTGTTCTTTCTTTTACGTTTCCGCTAACACATCTCATATCCAGTACGCACTCCGATTAATCCAAATTTACGTTGTATAAGGCTCATTAAAGGGGAGTCGCTGCCTACCAGGGATTTATGGACTTATAATGCAGATGGAATTTCTGTAAAAACCATGCAAGAATAAAATGTGATTTCCAAGCACAACTGGAAACTGCTGCTGAAGCTCCATGAATAAGTTTACATCAACTCAACTCCCTTCGGGCGCGAAAAGCTGGCAGCAGTTTCAAGTCTTTCTATATCACATTAGAAGTCACTATGCACATTCTCGGTGCCAAAAAAATTACAAAAAAAGAAAAAGGAAATGTCCCTGTGCCAGTTTCAATAACCAGAAAATGGTGAGTTAAATTAACTTCAAATGATCAATTAGCTTTCTGCTCCATAATGCAGTTCCTTCAACCTACCTTCAACTACTCACAAGCTTTCATGAGCCAAAGCATCAATTTCTCAGCTCATCGACAAGTTCATAAGAGCATTCGGTTGTTTCCTTTCTGCAAAAGAAAAGCACAACAAACATAAACAAGTAAATCAAGAGACTCCTCCTCATCAGCTGAGCTCAAATAGCCAAGAAAATAACACAACGTGAAAGTTATTTCACAAAGAACTTAGCATACATGTAGAATTTCACAGCAATTATTGAAAACATATTTGCGATTAAAACGAAAGGGACAGCGATTCTGATTTTAGTTAAAGCAGGAATGTCCTCAAAAACCTCTCATGGCGTTGAAGGAACATAAACAATTACATACGCTTTTTTTTTAATAGATTAAAATTGTACATGTATTATATATATACCATATAATTCATAAAAACTGATCATTGTGACCCTTGTTTATCTTTTTCCCCATTTAGCATCCAAATGAATTAAGATTGATCAACTACCTTCACGTGAACATCACACCAGTAGAAGTCTTAGGGCACGGTCAATCTTCATGTTCATCTTCAGAATCTGCATGAGGTAGAACACAATCAAGGACCGTAATTGAATATAGGGAAAAAACAGTTTGCTCCACTGAAGGAGTCATTTAGTTTCTTAACTGCTATGACCAATAACATTTTAATGGGAAGACCTTACACCATTGACCACTAGAGCAAGGAAAACTCGCTATGAGCTCTAGAAAGTGAACAACAGAAGCAAAATTAGTCAGTGTCTACAGGTAAATATAGGGCTTAGAATAAACATATGTTGAAAAACGGATACCTCTTTTCTTCGTATTGGATGTTATTCACACAGCTTTGAAATGCGTCACTGCTTATTAATGACAGTATAAGTTTTTGAAGTTCCTATTTCTATACTTTGCAGACATGGACGTGCGCAAACATGTTTTCTACAATCCCACATCGAACCCAGCTTGTGAAAGCAGTAAAAACAGTCCAATCCGTTTAACTCCTTGTTTTTAATCCTAAAAAGTGTTGACACTCTTATAAACATTAATTAAAATAGAAGTACTATACAGATGCACATAGAGGTATGGACTAGAAGCTATTTGAGGCTATGCACAAAAAACAAGTGATCCTATTTGAATTGTGTTCTGAAAAGTAGATAAAAAAAAATTCTCCTAGGATGAAGCAACTCAACATAGTAGAGATCACTTGGTAACATTGCGTAGAATTTGATTAACTTCGTGAAGGTACATATTGGAAATAAATTCTGCGACATAACCAAAGGAAATTTCACCATTGTCATAGTTATTAAGAGCATGGGTAGCACAAGCGCCTGGGGTTTTATGGAAGTCTATGGGTCAGTAGGAAGGGGTCTATATGGAGTTCTGGAAATCATCAGGAGTCAAGTTCCAAGCACAAAACAAACAAGATTCCTTATCTCTCAGTCACAGACACAAACAGTGTAAATGGGAAGGACCAAAGGACAGCATTTTCACAGTGAAATCCTCCTATAGCGAGTTCTAAGGTGAGAGAACATAGAGTTTCCTCATACATGAATTGGTTCCCAGGGCCCCGGGGCAGATATTATTTTTTGTGTGGGTAGCAACATGGGAAGCCATTTTACGCAGAGAACGTGAAGAAAGGAACGAGAGTTCAGATCATATGGTGTTTTATGTGCAAAAAGGTAGGAGAGGACGTCAATCCTCTGCAGTTCTTTGTCTAATGCATACAGACTATGGTGCGCGTGGAAAATGTTTGGTGTTCATAGGTGATGCCGGGAACTGTTAGAAATGTGCTACTAGGTCAGAAATTCAAGAGGAAGAGATGAAAAAGAGAACTTGATTTCCTCGCATGTTCTAGATCCCATATTCCTCTTCTCTTATTATCTTTATTATGTCAATTTTCGATCAGAAAAGCAAGGCGCAAACAACTTTACAACCGCTTCATCATCTTTGATCCGTAAAAACATGAAAACATCACCTTATTATCTCACATAAAAGAAAACATAAAAACATCATAAAATGCCATATTTGGACTCCAAAGTTTGGACAGAGAGAAACTGTAAATGTTTTGAGGTGGGAAAAAAATAACCACAAGCTAATTGCTGAATAGGACAAAACTACATTTCTATCCCTCGACCAGTAAGTGAAATGCATGAAAACGTTACATTTGCACTTTCTTACCTCTTTCACCATGCAAGGAGCAAATACTTGAAATAAAATTTAAGCTATGGCTTTACTTTAGCCATGATTTGCAGTGAACAATGTAAGATCAAGATGTTCAAGATAAGCATGTGGCTCTTAAACTTACCAGAACGAACGTCCTCACTCAGTTGGCCCCTTGCTTGGATTTGTTTAACAAGCATCCGGTATATCAACACCCACCAATATATATGAAGAACCATCAAGCAAAATAGAAGAGAATTAAAGATATAATAATAGATTGGTCCATCCACTTTGTGTTTCTCCTTATCCAAAGTCTGGAGAACTTCATAACTGCATTAACAGAAAAATAAAAGAACTTTCACATATATCTCGTACACAACTATTTCTCACGAAAAGGGTAACATTAACTGGTAAGTTCATATTTCTGCAGAAAACACAAATGAAGTTTTCAAAAGAGAACTAAGTGTGAATATCAATCTATCAACAACTCCATAATGCTACACTAGTTGACCATATTAAATCCTCTGAATTAAGAACTGAGCACTAATACACAGCTTACTTAGCTGCTGGCAACCAATGTGTTAAGGATATGGCATAAAGCAATGCAGGGAAAGCTGATATAAAGCATAAAGAAGCATATTATTTTGAACTCCATCATCAACAAATGATAATGCAAATTGGAACTTAAGGAAGTGAATAACACATAAGATAGTGCTTCTTTTTTAAGAAGGTTAAATCAAGAAATGAAGGGTTCGACAAGAAAACAGAAAGCAGCTTCTTTGTAAGTAGGAAAAAAAGCACCTATGATTCACCTGGTACTCCAAAGAACCCAGAACGGGAAGTATGTGAGGCGAAGTACAATCCAGGATAAAACAAAAAGAATAAATGAAAAGCTAGCAAGAGCTTCAGCACCACTGTATTTGGACATCTTTCCGATTTCGAGGAATATATCACTGGCATCATGAAGGGCTAAAACTACTGAACCGACACGTGCAAACCTGCATATAATAAAAACAGAAAGCCAATAATGTTACATGCTGATAACTTATCTTTATGATAGCACAGTATTCATAGCTTTACGTATTGATGGCATCATGAAATTCAGTAGTTCACAGTTTGTAATTCGTCCCTGAGAAACCTCAAAAATCTTTATTGCTTTTGTGATTCTTCTCCACCACAAAATATTTTGAACATGAATCATCAAGGCAATTAAAATTCAACTTCACATTATTGAGACAGTTGTCCAAAGAGCATCAACCTTGTCAGTAGAAGAACACATTTGCTATAAAAAATGAAGAATAATTTGTACTATAACTTTTGACAATTCCTCTTATAAGTAAATATGTCTTGATAAATGGAAGTAAAACATATATGCTTCATCAAAATAGGGAATCAAACCAAAATATGACACTCTACATATTGCAGCCAGTCATCTACACTAATCGGAACCTCAGGTGCTCGAAAAGCTTTTCAACATAAGAAAAAAGATGAACGATATATATACAAAAGCTATATGACTCCTTCCAAAATTGTTAGCATCAGTGTCGGAGGAGTCACACCTATGCTCTTTCTTGGGTATTCAGAGAAGGCTTTAATACAATTATATTTTTGAAGGAAAGATTTGGATGTGTCTCCTTTACTAGCATAATGGAGAGGTCTTTAAGAGTTCTTCAATAACCATCACATAGTTGATCTTTGTCTGAAAGGTGTAAAACTCATTTGGTATAGGGTGGAAGAGTCCAGTGTAAATAAATACTTGATCGTTAACGGATCAGGACATATGAAAATAGTAAGGACATAATGATCACAGACTATTGATGAGTATGTATATATATACTTTCATTATTCATTAGTGCGTGTTCCTCGAGCCATTAGAAAATTATGATTTTCTTTCTGGCTAGCAATGAGGGAAGCCGTCCTGGAAATGGACAAAAGGGAGAAAAAAAAAACTCACATGACTTGGTGCTATCTTACAAAAAGTCGATAAAAATTTGTACCAAATATTACTGCACTCTCTTATTATGGCCCACCTTACGTAATGAAAACAATTTCATCCTAGAATTTCCTTTCAACATCGATCTTACTAACCCACAACCCAACCTTAATGCCAACATTCTCAAGTAGTGTAAACATAGATTTTTAGTACTTGTTCATCATATAATAGTAGTATCTCCGACACTGCTCTAGCTGATATCATCTCATTTTGACCGACTTCCTTTCACACACTTGCACGCTTCTAAAAACTGGTTGAAAAGTACATCCATCTTTGTCTCATTGATGAATACCAACTCTATCATCCTTGTATGTTCGATGCATACCAAATCTACCCCTAGCTCTCTCAGCCCCACCTTGATAATGAACCTTTTGCTTGGGTGATTTATCCCTTTACATTCCATGAACAAAACTATTTTGAGCTCCGTATACGTTATTCACAATCCTCTCCCAAACTCACCTGTTAATTTCATCACCCCAAGTCCCTCTTTTATTGCATTTGGTCTCACTAACCCCTCTTCTTCTCCCCACTACTCACTTCCCTCTTTGTTGCACTTTGTCGATTAGGATGCCAATTATTTCCCCCTTAAAACTTTGAAATGTTATCCTCAAACAGAATTAAAGCCCGTATGTGAGGGGGCGTATTGAAGACATAATTAAGTAAATAAACGTGTGCTCTCTCTAAGAGCTTAAGATTTTAAATGAGATGGTTAGACACTTCAATTATTACCACTGAGCTACTCCTTGACCCAGTAAGTATTCCGATTTAATAATCCATCCCAACATAGAGACAGGTGCAAAACTTATGTGCTTGCTGGCTGTTTGCCTTAATCCTTAGACTCTTGTTCATGTATTTTTTCTTTCTTGTTCATTTTTTCTCCGTGCAAGACAACAAATTATATTAATAAGAGCAGAAAGGTCAAAAAAGATGGAGGAAACGACGTCAAAAAAAAGTAGGCAGAGATGCTAGGTTGCATTGAAACCACTTTCCTATCATCTGCCAATCTATTATAAATATGTCCCAACATTAACCTATTGCTTTATACAACAAGGATCTTGGTTTCTATCTACTTTCTTTATAACCGCGAAATCCCGGAGGGCTAGTGGCGCACAGTCCGAAAATCAACGGATAATGAGCTCGTCCATCTACCGGTGTCCACTTAAATATTAGGCTCTTGTCTGTGGCACGGTTCAAACTCATGACGTGCCTAATCACACAATATATGTTGCACTCTTACTAGACAAAATACCCGGGAACTAGTTTATATCTACTTTTTATCTCAAAATAATCAAAATATCGACAAAGACAAGAACTAACCCATAATCTGCATTCTAGAAGATCCCCTAAATCAAATAACTCCATGAGAAGCACGAAAATTTGAACATAATTTACAAAATCCATGTGCCTGACATTTTTTTACACGTTCATTATCGTCGTTGAATTTGGATTTTACTTCTCTGTATCTGATATGGGAAACTAGTTGCTATAATGTTTTTGGCATGCATCTGCTTCCAGTAAGAATTTTAAACTAATAACACATAAGCCCCCTGCTTCAATCGTGTTTGGCTCCAAGAAGTTGAATGCCCTGAAAATTTCTGTCCCTTTACAAAAGATAGACTTATACCAGCACAATCTCAGCAAATAAAATGACCTTTTATTTAGCGCTATAAGCTCACCTCAACAGAAACACACCTGGATATATAGGAAAAGGCGATAAGAATCGCAGTGGCAAGATGATGACTCATCGAAACTCCAAAGTCAGAGCGTCTTGTCTCCCAAAATATTAGCGCAAATATGGAGTATGCATAGAACCCGCCAGTATACATGTAAAGTGCCTTCAGTTTGGACCTAAATTTACACAAGACAGTCACTCAGATAGGCAGAGACTACTAAGTATCAAAACCATGTAAGCTAAACTAAAATTCATCAGCTCTAGCTTTTGAAAATGTTACTATGATTTATGGAAAAAGAGGCCATAAACCAGGAGCTTCTGTCTGCAAGAATCACAATTATTTCCCAGAAAACATATAGGATGTTCAATCTGAAACAAACCAGTNAAAACACAAAGGACAGAAGTTAAGAAGCAAATAGAAGAGGTCTTACTTGTACATCTGGTCAGGCCAGACCTGATCACCGGGCCCTACCCAAAAGTATTTGGTTTCTGTCAACCAAGGCTCATTGTATGTCACCACAAGTGCAAAAACTTCCGCAGAGAGAAAATATATACATTTCCATGCTGATTCCTTGAATTTCCGTATCTTTTTCCTCCGATCATCAGTCTCATTTTCTATCCTTTCTTGTCCTTTCCCAAATATTAACCTTCTGGCCACTTTCTGCAATATGTACATAAATTCCATGTCGAAAGGAGATCATCAAGAAGAACAATTCATGTAGAAAGAAGTGGAGAGGTACTACCTATTCTAGAAGCAGCATCACATGATTCTATAGAAAAGAAATTCCAAGTGAAGACTAGAGAAAATTGAAAGGAGGAAAATTAGAAAAGGATATAGCAAGAGTTAGACTTTACATGATTAAGTTTGCCAGTTCGCCTCAAACTTGATGACTCTAAACACAACTATTCACGTCTCTTTAGAGAAAATACGCCTCATTTTCATCAACTGCTTCGTGCCTCTATCGTTTCTAGTCAGTCTGCCTCTTCTTTTAAAGCATAGCTTCTTTCAATTGGTGAATCAGAAAAGCTTTTTATTAAGTGCAGACCATTTTAATCCTTTTCTGTTCCCTATAGCAACTGTATCTTTCTATTTTATTTTTATTTTTATTTTTTATTTTAATTCTGTATAATATCGGAGTGAGATGAGCTTAAATGAAGCAACAAAGTTAGTGAAAATTCATATAGCCGACCCCAACGTGCTTGTGATCGAGGTGTAGTTGTAATTGTTGTTGGTGGTGGTTTACAGGAATTGTATATTCAATATCTATAATTTGCTTACTTCTTTCTTCCTAACCGCATTAATATCTTAACATCCCTTTAGCTAAACTTGTCCAAGTAAGATGGCAACATTTAATTGCAAAATATTTGTGCCAGCTGCTTTATTTGCTAGGCAAGAAAAGGAAATATAGAAAGGAAAAGGGAATCTGCATCATTTTGAGCACAATTATAGTTTTTACTTCTATTGCAAATACTTGAACTAAAAATTAAGCAAGTAAAGCTCTATCTGATAATATCACAATAAGCATCGCAACAACTTCGCATCAATGGTAACCAAAGTATACTCCCCTACTCTACACATAAGCAAACGATACCCCAGGAATGTGAGTTCTTCTCCTACTTCAAGATTGGTTAACCAATTTAATATGTAAATTTTCTTTATGACAGCGGTATTCGCGCCAACTTGCACACACCTCGACTATGCCACCATATGACTTAGGAGATGGAAAGAAATCACGTAGAGATTTTTCTTAAAAGATTTCAATGGGTGCTTAGAACCTTGAACCAATCAAAACACTCATTCTCATGAATCTCAGCCTCCTATTTTGTTACATGCACTTGCCAAGGATATGACTTTTGCTTCTAGAACTAGCAGTTTTAACTGAATAGCTAAAAACTTCAACTCACTCAAAAGACCAATTTTCTCTTCTTCTTTTTTTGATAACCCAGAAATCCCCCAACGCCAGTCGCACACAATTCGAAACTCAGTGGATAATGGACCCGTCCCCGTGGGCGGAGCTAGAGACCAAGGTACTGGTTCGGCCGAGCCTAGTAAACTTGGTCCATGCTCTGTATTTATCTTAAAATTTTCATTTAATATATATATATTATTAATTTAAAAACCAGTAACTTGCTAGAATCATGAACCCATAAATTTCAAATCTTGGCTTCGCCCCTGCCCGGTCCCACTACCCTTCTCCACTAAAATAGTGGTGGTGTCACTCAGAAGACCAAGTTACTAACATAGAGATCCTACAATTTACATTTAGATTCATCCAAACCAAAATCATCAAAACTAACAAAACCCCATCTAAAAAAACAACCAAAAAATTCACAAAAATGCCAAGCATCCACAAGTTTCAATACTGAATCATTGAACAAAATCTACCAAAAAAGAACAAACTTTTAAAAAAGGAAAGTTACCTCAAAAACAAATCTATCAAGCAAGAATCTGATTGTGGGAAAGAAGAGGGCAAACAGTGGAAGAACAGCGAAATCTTCATATCCAGGGTAAGATTCATATTCCCAATTAAGAAAACTCCCAATTTGAAGCATACCCATTATCTCAATTTCCCAAAAGATTCAATCTTGCATATGTTATATGTGAAATTTTTGATGGGTTTGCATGTGAATTGAGAAAATTCCGGTTTTTTTAGACCCTTTTCTGAGTCTGAGTTGGAGTGTGACTTTGGGAGCTTCGTTTAGCTCGAAAGATTGGATCAAGTGGAGGATGGTGGGGCCCATGCCAAAGCACATTTAATTTTAATAAATAATGGTCATTAAACTATTGACTTATGTCCCGTCTATTATATGGCACGAAAGACATTTTAAAAGACTATTATATTTTTAGGGTATGTTTGGTATAAAGAAAAATATTTTTAGCCAAGTGCACATATATTCTCATGGATGTTATTTAGAGATTAGTCAGCTTTTATTTTGTTTTAAAATTTTAAACTAAAAATCTGAATTATAGGACAATTCAGATCCCAAAATTGCACTGAAAAACTAAAATTCAGAACATATTGGTTAATTCTTAAATAGCAGCCCTTTATAGTGGCTACGTGGTGTCATTTCTATGGAAAACATTTACTAANCCTAACCCGGGCCTACCAACGCCGCCCTTTTCCCCTAATATTGCCACCACTTCAGCCCTTAGACCCCGATTTATGACCCTCCCAGCCTTTACCCATTTCGTCTCATACAGTGTTACCTAAATTATATTTTCCAATAATATTTTGTGCTACCTAAACAAACACCGAAAATATAGTAAAAATCCCACTTATTTTTCAAGAAAAATACTTTCCATCGTACCAAACACACCCTTAATCATAATTTATTCAATTATCATTATCATTTTCAAATGTCTCAAGTAATTAATATTCTAGCAATGGTAAGTTCGCAAAAAATGATAAATGCTTATTGTTTTTCCGCAAAAACAGCAACAACAACGTTTTAGTCTTAAATAAGTTGGAGTTGACTATATGAATAATCACTGCTTCATTTAATTCACCATGTTATCATCATATATATCAAATAAGAGAAAAAATGACAGATGAGACATATATGTGTGTGTGTGTGTGTATGTGTGTGTGTGTGTGTATGTATGTCTAACTAGTTTCTATGAGTGTGCATTGTACGATAACAATTGCACGTTGATGTTCCGATCGTAAAAAAACACTCATACTTTTCAAATGTTATTACACTTACATGACACTTGAATTTAAATGATTCGACGTTATCGTCTGAACCTACGAATAATATATGTACTTATAAAATAAGAGATATAATCGTATCTTACCTAATACTTCTTTATATATGATATTTTTTATGTTTGTTTCCTCATGATACTTTGGTTGCTTTGTTATGATGAGAACTCTCGTTCTCGACAGTGATATCCCTCTTGAAAATATAACATCTAATGGTTAATGCAATAAAATATGTTGCATCAAATATAGTCTAACATTTAAAATTATTTGGCTATATATTTTAATTATTTTCATTACACAAGCATACGTGCAATTAATTGTAGACATATTTAAGAGGATATCTTTCATCTTCTTTGATGAAAATTGAATTTTGGGGATAAACACATGCTTGAATAGCATATATATTCATCAGGGTTTCTACAGAATAAGAAGATTAAAAAAAAAAATTAACCGTAATAAGTGAACAATAATGCTAAAAATTAAATCAAAAGTAGTACAATCGTGTGGTTTTTGATCTAAATTTTATAATTAAGTTTTATTGAAGTGAAATATTGTCATGTCAAATTTTGAAAAGAAAAATAAATATGTAGTGCATAAATGATGTATTTCGAGGTCTTAAAAATCTCATTTTAGCCCTTCTCGATTTGTGTGCGCAATCCGGACGCAATTCCGGAAAGCTTCTATGTTGAAAATTGATGAAAATAATAATTTTTGCCTTTATGATTTTAGTTGACTTCGTTCAACGTTTTGAGTAAACGGACCCGGACTCGTATTTTGACAGTTCCGGTGAATCCGTATCAAAATATGGGACCTGAGTGTATGCTTGGAATCGGATTCGGAGGTCCCTAGCCTGAGTTATGGTTTTTTGTTAAAAATTGTAAGTCTGAATATTTAATGACTTTTATGTAATTGTTAATATTTGATCTTGTTGGTATCGAGTTCGTATTTTAGTTTCGGAGTCTGGTACAAGTTCAATATAATATTTATGACATGTCTGTGAAATTTGGTGAGAAACGGAGTTGGTTTGATGTGATTCGGGCGTCCGTTTGAGAAAATAGAAATTCAAAGTGTTCTTGAGAATTTCATTTGATTTGGTGCTAAATTCGTAGTTTTAAATGTTATTTTGGTGATTTGATCGCACAAGCAAGTTCGTATGATGTTTTTAGACTTGTGTGCATGTTTGGTTTGGAGCCCCAAAGGCTTGCGTGAGTTTTGAATAGGCTTCACAGTGATTTGAACTTGAAAAATGTTGCTGGTGTTCCAGTTCTGGTGTTAGCCTCTGATATCGCAATTGCGAGACCAAAGTTCGCATTTGCGAAAGCTAAGTCGCAAGTGCAAAGATTAGTTGGGCCAAACAGTCTTCGCATTTGCGAAGTAAAGCTGGGAGGGCATTGATCGCAAATGCGATTATTTAGTCGCATTTGCGAAGGTACCAATTTGCAATTGCGAACTTATCTTCGCAATTACGAAGGCAATAGAGATGTGAAGGATCTCGCATTTGCGAAGCTCAGGTCGCAAATGCGACATCTGCAGCTGTGTAAAATCTAACTTAGACATGATTTTTGCTCATTTCTCCAAATTTTCAAAACAAGAAACCCTCTAGGCGATTTTTCAAAGGCCATTTCTTTCCCAAATCATTGGTAAGTGATTCTTAACTAGTCTCTTTCAATCTTTCACTTTATTTTACAAGATTTCAACCTAGAATCTAAGGCTTTCATGGTGGAATTGGGAATTTTTGGTTAAAAACTAGAGATTTCGAAATTTGGGATTTAGACCTCAAATTGGGGTTGGATTCCAAAATCAATTATATATCCGCGTTCGGGGGTGAATGGGTAATCGGGTTTTGGTTCGAATTTCGGGTTTGGACTAAGTGGGCCCGGATGTTGACTTTTGTTGACTTTTAAAAAAATGGCCTAAATTGAATTCTCTGCTATTATGGGTAGTTCCTAAGGCTTAAATTGGATTATTTGGTTGGTAATTTGCTAGATTCTATTGGTCTGGAGGCTTGTGTGAAGGGAAAAGCTGTGATTGAGCTTTAAGTTTGGTCGTTGGAGCAAGATAAGTGCCGTGTCTAACTTTGACTCGAGGCCATGTGAGTAGTGTATAGGTGAGGTGATGAGTACCTATGCGCCACCAATTTATCTATTTTGCATGTTTCCTTTCTGTTCTTCTTATATTGCCCTTTCCCTGCCTTAACTGCTACATGCTTTACTGGTATTTCCATGCTTAATTGCTATTTGTCAGACATTGCTTTTCATTGTTGAAGGTATTAGCTACCCCATAGCTTCATTATCTCATATTATTGGCTTAGGCTGGTTTATCGATGTTTTATGGTATATTTTGGATTGGCTTTGCTGAGTAGTATTAATTATGTGAAATTTCATAATGTACAATCTTTCCGTTTGCTTTGGTTTGAGGTTTAAATATTGTGAAGAGTTTTGAGTTAAATTGTGAAATTTTTGTACTTATTGAGTAACTGATGTTGATATGGTGGGATCGGATTGCGGGCCACAACAAGAGGAATACAACAACAACAACAACAACCCAGTATAATCCCATTTAGTGGGTCTGTGGAGGGTAGTGTGTACGCAAACCTTACCCCTATCCTGGGGTAGAGAGACTGTTTCCAAATAGACCCTCGGCATCCTTCCCTCCAAGAACTTCCCAACTTGCTCTTGGGGAGACTCGAACTCACAACCTCTTGGTTGGAAGAGGAATAAGAGTGATATATTGAGGAGGAATAACGGTGAAATGCTATTATACGGTGGGATCGGGTTGCACCCCGCAATCGGAGGAATAATGATGAATTGATATGGAGTAATAAGGGTGAAATGTTATTATATGCTATTATATGTATGTATGTATGTATAAGTTCTCTAACAAGTCTAGCAAATATTACTTTTATGGATCTTTTCATTTCATTGTGTATTATCTCTAGTTAAGTCTGTAGTGCCAAATATTTTGAAGCAAATTAATTTTCTAAAATATCTAATATTTGGAGGAAGTGTTGTGTAACAATAAGTATTTATTACGTAAAAACATATTCTAAATTTTTAAATATTTGTATATAATTTGCTTCTCCCTTGATCAATAAGAGAAAAGAAAAAATAGAAAAGGAAAGAATATGCAGGAATGCATGTCAGATATCGGTTCACATCATCACATGCAAATCATACTTAAAGGAACCCAAACTGATATTATAATTATTAAATTTCAAAGTATTAAGCAAACATGTTCCACCAATAAATGAAGAAGAATAATTAATGAAAAGTCAGTCTACTTGTTTGTCTGTGACAGAAGTTTAGGCATAATAACTGTAGTAATTTATAGTATATTTTATTGACTTAGTTTAAATATATTTTATTGACTTAGTTTAAATATTAATTTAGCAAAACATTTCTAATAGCGGAGAGAATAGAAGAATGAGGCCCTTTTTAATAATATCTCAATTGTAACGGTAAGGTTCATTTGGTATTACATGAACATCTAACAGTGGCATTTCTATGTTTTAGCAATTGTGTACTTTTGTTGTCCTAAAGTACTTCACATTAATTAACAGTCGTCTTTAGTAATATCGTACGCAGAATTTTGCACACATTAATTAAGAGTAATCTTTAGTACTCCCTCCGATCCAAAATAAGTGATTTTTTTTATTGTTTTCACACATATTAAGAAATTCACCTTTGAGCATTAATTAGCAATAAAATTGACCATATNTATATATATATATTTGTGTGTGTCTATATATAATCATGTATAATCAATGTGTAGTCTATGATACCGGTTTAGAGAATAAACAAAAAAATTATAGAAATATAACAACTTTTGAGGTGATCTTTAACTTTTGAGCCACATTTATTCTATGGGTAGAACTTCAAGGTCTAAAGTTATAAGTATTGCCCTTGAGGTAAGCGAGGGAAACACTTGTTAAACTTGAAGTTCTGCCCATGGAGAAGGTGGGGACAAAAAATTAAGATCATCCACTAAAAGGGGCTATTTGTGT